TGGGAAAGTGTTTACCATATAAGCATGGGAACCTTAGTTTGGATCCCCAGAATGTTCATAAAACCAGATGCAGTGGTGTGCATATCTGTAATCCCAACTCTACCACAGTGAGAGGGAAAAGGGGAAGAACAACCTCTGGAATCTAAATGATCACTAGCCTTGTATACAAAGCACAAGTGAACAAGAGAACTGACGCCCAAGATTGTCCTCTGACCTCCACATTCATGCGGTGCCATTTGCACACTCACAGACCCAAACATGTACACATCACACATAGAGAAAGAGGGAGGTGGGTGGAGAGAGAAAGAATGAACCAACTGGGCCAGACCTCATGCCTGTAGTCACAGTACTTAATAGGCTGAGACAGGAGGATTGCCTTAGTGTGAGGCCAGCATGGTCTACAGAGTACGTTCCAGGACACAGTGTAATACCCTGTCTGAAAAAAGAAATCCGAAATACTAACCCAACAGTGAACCCTGCATGCTGCAATTGTGCAGGAAGGATGCACAATTGTGGCACAAGGGTTGTGGGAGCAACCAACAAACCCCTTTTAGATTGGATTTGAGGTCTGCTCCCCAGGAAGCAATTCACACCTGGTACTGTAAACCTGGTCAAAAACCCATGGCTCAGGAGGTCACAGGCCCAAGGAGAACCTATTAAATATTGTCTTGCTAATGGACATGTTGACAAAACTGCCTTCTGCATATTTAGGCCTGTGTTCATAGATCACTTTTACCCTCAACCTTGGCCAGATTTAAACATTTTTAAGCACATTTATTGTGCTATTATTGTGTGTGTGTGTGGGGGGTGCATACCTGCCATGGCACACATACAGAAGTCAGAGGACAACTCTAAAAATTGGGTCTCTGTTTTGGGGCCTGTAGTGGAATATGTTTTTAATCCCAGAGCTCAGGAATCAGAGGCAGGTAGCTCTATGTGAGTTCAAGGCCAGCCTGATTTACATAGAAAGTTCCAGAACAGCCAGGGCTACATAGTGAGATGCTTTCTAAAAACAAAACAAACAAACAAACAAAAACCCAAAAAACCAAAAACTCTTTTTAAAGGCTAAAGCTTTCCTTCCATCATTATGTCTGAAAGATTGAATTTGGCATCAGGAAGACCCTTGGTAGCCTTCAGATCTTGGTTGTTATGAAGAATGTCACCAATGTCCTTTCAAAACTGCTATTTCATTTCCTCTGGACCCATACCCACAGTGAGGCGCTGGGTCATATGGCAGTGCTGTTTCATTGTTGGGGAGCCTCATTCTGTCTTCCCATCAATTTACTTTCTCACCAGCGTGAGAGCCTGCTACCTTTCTCATTCTTGACAGTACTTCTTGTCTCTTATCCTTTTTTTTTTTTTTTTTTTAAGATTTGTATAGGTATTTTGCCTGCATGCATGTCTGTGCATCACATGCTTGCAGTGACAGATAAGGCCAGAAGAGGTCACTGGATTCCTCTAGTACCCGAGTTATGGATGGTTGTGAGCCACCAACCATGTGGGTGCTGGGAATGAAGTGGGTTCTGTGGCAGAGCAGCCAATGCCTTTTCTTTTTCTTTTGTGTAATATTTTTATTGTATTATGACACTCCTGAAACTGACAATAAAGTTTGTTTTGAACTAGAGGGTGGAGTTAGCTACTAGTGGAGAGGGTCTTGGCCCTTTTTGGATTCAGCTTCTTACCCCTATATCTGACTTTCAAGTTTTTATTGATAAAGAATAATTAGATAAATGCATAATCTGGGGTCCAACTAGGTGCACAAAAATCATAAGATAGCCACTCACTCCTGGCTTTGCAGCCTTGGAGCTCCCACCCTCAGCTGGTTCTTTCTCCCTCAAGCCAAACTCTCTGAGCTAGGATTTTCCTATTGTAGCCTCTCTACAACAGTCTCCAGCTGTCACCCATTCTTGGCTCCAAACTCACAGGGCCCTGGGCTCCAAATGCTGAAGTTAGCTGCCTACCACCAGCTGGCTCTGCCTTCAGGCCTGTGCAGTCACTTCCTGTCCATGTGCTTCTCCTGGATGCTCCTGAGTCCTCTTCTCAGATGGCTGGTTCCCTCTTCCTGTGGGCTGTGGGCTTCCCCTGGAGCCCTTGCTCAGGCTGCTGCTACACCAGGCCAGCTACCTTGACACCTGCTCAGCTCTCAGATACATGAAAGCAGCTGCAGCTGCCCTCAGCCAGGCTGTGCGCAGCCTTCGTTCTCTGCCCAGACATGCTACACAGGAACAGACCTCACAGGTCACTGTCATCATCAGCAGATCTGTTGAGACACCTGGGAATTCTTAAGGGGGAATTATTTTAAAGAAATATTACAATGCAGAGAGTTAAGTCTCTGTATAGTTTCACAATGGATGGTTTGGAAATGGAACAATTAAATGAAGGAAGGGATAATCAACTTAGCTGGGATTGACATACTGTCAATTATAATCATTATCATTTTGGGGATTCCTGTTTTATTCCTAAAAAAGTTGTTTGACATCAGTGCCAAATATGAAAACTTGACTGCTAAGATACAAGCCTTAGAAAGGCAAACTAATGAAATGATATAGGAAAATATTCACACACGCAAAGGAGTTTAGAGCAGAAGCTACTGCACCACCGCATTATGAAACTGAAGGGGAGAGGCCCAAGGTTATTAGAAAGCCAACCTTAATTTACCCAGTTACCATTCAAGAACAGCTACCAGATGCTAAGCATCCCCAAGGCTACTCAGAAGTTAACTGTGATCCTATAGAAATGCTAGATTTGAAGATTTAAGGAAGCAATTGTTCCATATAGTATACATTCACCTTTTGTGAAGCAGATGTTAAGCATGAAACTAGGGCCATCGAATAACCAGGTAGGGTTAGAGTTCATGAGATTTCCCAAGATCAAATCCTTGGTGAGAACCATTATGCTGATTTTCAAAGACAGTCTATATTTGATGATCACACCTTGGTCCTATACCATACAGCAACTTTGAATGCTTGGGACAAGATTAAAGGATCAGGGAAGATGACAGAGCCATTTATTAAAATTATACAAGGCCTTCACTGATATATTTACAATTTTTTTTTCCTGACCTGGGTTTTACTGGCGCAGGCCGGCCATGTTCCCAAGCTGGAACATGGCCTCCGTGAGCGATATATTTACAAATATTAACTTCAGCTGTAAAAAGAACAATATCAGATCAAGAAGTTAGACAAATATCAATTGAATCTTTGGCTTTTGAAAATGTTAATTCAGAATGCAAAGGGGTGATCAGTCCTTTAAAGGCAAGATCAGCACCCATAGATGAATGAATTAGAAATACAGCTGATAGGGGGCTGGAGAGATGACTCAGAGGTTAAGAGCACTGGCTGATGAGTTCAATTCCAAACCACATGGTGGCTCACAACCATCTATAATGAGATCTGGTATCTCAGCTACTTCTGGGCCACCACACCTGCTGCCAAGCTCCCTTCCATGATGATCATGCACTCACCACTCACCTTCTGAAATTGTAAATGAGCCCCTAATTACTTTCCTTTATAACTGCTATTGTCACAGTGTCTCTTCACAACAATAAACAGTGACTAAGACAACCTGTGATCCTAGGACTGTCAGTACTGTGTGTGTGTGTGTGTGTGTGTGTGTGTGTACCAGCACAGTCTCAGTTATATGTAGAATCTAAAAGTACACCTTATAGAGTAGAGTAGAATTTCTCAGAAGCTGGAGAGAGGATTGGATGCTCAGAGTACAGAGCTGTGACCAAGAGGAGGAGGCAGTCCTACCATCCCAATAAGCATGACTCTGGGTCATAGTTTGTTTTTTGAGATAGGTTTTCGTGTAGCTCAGGAGGGCCTCAAACTTTCCATACAGCCCAGAAGGAGCCATCCATATTGTTTCCCAAGTTCTAGGAATTACAAGTTTTTGGCTCATGATTTATGTTTCAAATGACTAGAAGAAAGGATTTTGGATGTTTTGCTATAAAGAAATGTCTGAGTTGATGGGCAGGTTAACTACCCTGATTTGATTACTATGCATTGTACATATCCTGAGATATATTGCACACCAATTCAAAATAAAATAAAACTTTAGCCAGGCATGGCTGAGGAGAGTGAATTCCAAGAGACCTGGGCTACATGGTAAGACTTTCACAAAGCAAAAGCAGTGCCTCCAAATAAACCTTACTTTCCCTAAAAGATGAAAATAACAGCTGGGCATGGTGCTGGGACCGCAGAGAAAGCAGGGACCAAGGCGGGAGGGGCTGGTGGAAGAGGCAGCTGGCCCGAGGTCCCTGCTTTCTCTGGCATCCCAGCACCATGTCCAGCACAGGGGAGTGGTTTGAGGATGGCTCTAAGGCATGTGGCCAGGCAGCTGAAGAAAGAATGGGAACTGTCTGTAGAGACAGATGGGATAGACAGGCGCCCGCTCCTCCATCTCAGCACTCGCAGAAGCCAACTCAAGCTTTCCGAGACTCTGAGCCTCTCTCAACCGCTCTTCCACCCACACCCCCACGGCTGTCTAAGAAACATGTGCTTCATCAATATTCCTCTTAAAGATTTGTTTTTTATGTGTGTGGGTGTTTGCCTGCATGTATGTTTGTGTACCTGTGCCACATGCATATCTGGTGCCCTTGGAGGTCAGAAGAGGGTGTTGGATCTTTGGATCTCCTGGAACTGGAGTCACAGACAGTTGTGAGCTTCCATCTTAATGGCTAGGAGCAGAACTTGAATCCCCAAGAAGAGCAGCCAGAGCTGCACAGCCAGCCCCCTCAGCAACATTTTTCATACAGGTAAAAGTAAAGACATTTATTGTGTAAAACTTGAAAACCACAGAAAAGATGAAAATCACACTTCAATTCCCCACTCTTCCGAGGACCACAGTACACACATGGGATACAGCTTTTATTATAACTGAGAACCATATGTATTTACAGATTTAAAACTTCCTTCCCTCCCTCAACCCCACCTCCCCATCCCACCCCACCCCCACCACATCCCCACCCCACCCCACTCCACCTCCCCACCCCAGCCCCTCCCTGTCAGCTGCGATCATTTCTGAGGTCATTACAGTTTTTGAAAGCATGGCAAGGATGTCACAAACACAAGCCAGTCACAATCATTTCATGCTGATGGAGTTGAAAGTGCTGTTGTGTTTACATGTTTCTGTTTGCCTCTATTTTTTTTCTCTATTTGGTTTTATTTATTGCTTGCTGCTGTGTTTCCTCTGCTGAGCTGAAGGACGTCCATCTAGTCTGTGTCCCACCGTGCTTCCTGCTCCACTCACATACTTTTGCTCCCTCTAGTCCTTGTGCTAAAACTACCTTGCCCCTTCTTTCAAAGCCTCTCTTCTTCATGCATTCACTCCTGTGAATGTGCACTGAGCACCCACTTCTGCCAGGCACAGGAGCCAATAGCACATGGGATGCAGCTGAGACCCTGGGACAGACATCAAGCTTCCTCATCTTCCTTTAGAAGCTATATGACACTTCCTTCTTTTGGTACCCTTGTGACATTTTTGTTTGTCACTCAATTTAGCACTCAGAACATTCTGACCCTGTCTGGGCTGAAGTCCTGTTGGGTGCCCCCCATCTCTACCCCATTTCCTTCAGCCTCCTTCCCTCCCTGCACCTGAAAACCAGAAACAGCCCAGGACTGCAGAACATGAGGGAGCCCTTGACATTTCCCTCTAACCCTGAAATTGGAGCACTCAGCTTGGCAAAATCTACCGCAACAGCTTCCGTGTCCCTTAAGGGACATTTGCAGCTCACTTCTGCCATCTCTGCTACAGTTGATCCGCAGTACTAAAGGAGGGGCGATGACAGCCTGATGGGGTGGCAGCTGGCTGTGCCCTTTCCATCCCTCATCTCCCACATACAATAGGTGAGCCACCTGGGCTCCATTTCCCACCTTCCCCTCTCCCATCCAGGCCATGCACACACACTCACACGTCTCTTTTTGTAGGTCAGTCTGTTCTCAAGGACTGTCCCCTCTGACTCAACAACTTCCTCTCGAAAATCTCCAGCAACCACCTTTGGACCTTGTGTCCTCTTGGGTTGTAGCCTGGGCTAGTATCAGAGTCTGGGTCAGAAGCGGAACAATTGGGACCTGTCTGTACCTCAGACCCTCAGGGAGCCCCCGGCACCCATGTTCTACTCCCTGGGCCTGTCTCCTCATCTAACTCCCTCGTACTTGCCTTAGAAAAGGGAAGGACGTCAGCCTTGGAATGGAAGAGGAAACAGACAAACCCAGCCTGTAGGAGAAAGGCATAAAGGCCAGAGGGTTTGGCAGGTCCTACTCCTCACACCCCTCACACCAACACAGAGTGGGTGTTGGTGTGAGGGAGCCTTTGAAGGGAGGGTCGGCCTGGCAGCTTGGTCTCCTAAGTTTGCATTCTTTGGAGGCTCCAGACAGATTTAGGTTTTCAGCCATTTCTACCCTGTCTGAGCAAGATGAAGGGACCTGTGTTTCCAGTAGTTCCTGTGTCCCTCACTTTCCCAGTCCCTTCCCTCCATCTGTACTCACCAGCACTGTTCACAACCATCACCTAAGTGTCACATCTGCACACAAACCACACCTCAGAATGGACACAGCAGGTACCGGGTCTCTGGCAGCCTCCACCAGCAGCTACCAGCCAGTCCAGAGTCAAAGTGCTCTGGGAAAAGTCACAGGTCATCCAGGAGCAAGCTGGACGGCCCCATCCGGGCTCTAAGCTGGCCCCTGAGCAATGGGAGTCCTGAAGAAGTTTCAGAAACCAGAAATCCGCTGGTTTGTTACTTTATTCTACCTACCAGACCCCAGCATCCCAAGGGGGATCCTTGGAGAAACTGTGGGTCAACTAAGATTATTCTCATGGAGATTCAGCAACTGGTTCCAAAGGGAGCATGGAAGAAAGAGGGGAGAGGGAATGAATGAATGAATGAATGAATGAATGAATGAATGAATGAGTGCACTTGGTTCACAGTGTAGAATGTGGGGATGCTAGGAGCAGGATCCAGGGGTAAGCAGCAGGTGGGATGAAGACCTCCTGTTGCTCATATGCTTTGAGGTGCAGCCCCGTCTTTAGCTTCTAGCCCATCAGAAGTGGGGGTTTCCACAGCCTCATCCTCACTTCCCACCAGTGGCTCTTCCTCCCCCTTTAGGTTGGGACCTGGCCCAGACTTCAGCTCCTCCAGTACTAAAGAGCCCTGGCGAGATTTCCGTCTGCTGAAGAAAGTGGAGAGTGTGGGATGCTGGCTGGACCCCTCTGCCTCCAGGGCCTCAGAGCCCTTGTTGCCCCCTGGCCCTGATGCTGTTGCTATTGTAGCCTCTTCATCAGGAACCCGGGCTGGCCCAGCCCAGGCATCCACTACCCCATTGCGCTTTACACCTCTGCTCAGGGTCAGGGCCCCTGTCCTCCGCTTCTGCCGCCGGCGCCACAACAGTAATATCACGACAAGAGCCAAAACTACTAGCAAGGCCACAAGCATGGGCACTAGCAACATGCCACTTGATCCCTGGTGTGGTGTCCTGGTGGTTAGGGGCTCTGGGGTAGACATCATGGATATTTTTATGCTGGAGACTGGGGTGCCACCAGCTACACTAGAACTCTCCACAGAACTGGTTGCTATGGCAGCAGGGAATCCATGAGTCTCACTGGAGAACCCCAGAGACCCAGTAGTCATGATGACAGGTGGACTACTGGTCTTGGAGCTTACTGTTGTAGTCACAGAGGGTCCACTGGTCTCATTGGAGCTTGTTGTCATGGTGACAGGGGATGCACTGGACCCTTTAAAGGTTTCTAGAGAGGCAAATATCACAGTTCTGTCTGTCACAGGACTGGCTGTGGTGGCAGGAGGGTCACTGGGAACATCTGGAAGCTTTACTGACGTCTTGTTGGAAACTTCCTGGGAGGTTGTAGGCTCAGGTACAGGGGTGCTCATGCTAGCACCAGCAGGAGCCCCAAGAGGAGACAATCCAGAAGTTCCAAAGGGGCTTGAGGGAAGTGGGAATGTGATCTGACTCCAGATGCTGGTAGTCTCCTTAGTGTCCACTGTGTCTGGCCTAGTAGAGCCTGTCTGCTTGACACTCAAGGTTTCAGAGAGTCCTGGGATCTTGTGTGAGGTAGCAGGTATCAACATCATTGTGGGCTGCAGAGCAGGGGTGCTGCTCATCACCTGGGTCCAGAAGCCCCCGAAGAGGAGGAGAAGCAGAGCCATCTTCAGAGCAAGAGCCAGGACCTGAGTAGGGAAGTTACAGAGCACACACAGGGGTTGGGGAGGGAAACCTGGCCAGCCCCCTCCTTCTGCCACTTCCCTGCCAACTGCCAAGCCCAACTTGTGGTTTAACGGTTTTTTTTTCCCCCATTCTTGCTTTTACTATTATCAGAAGCAGCAAGGGGACAGATGTTGGCAGTGACTCCCCCACCCTGGCCCTGGCAACTCTGATTCCAGCAGCAGCCATGTTCTCCTGGCCTTCACTCACTCTGTCCCAGCCAATGGCTCTTGACCCCCTTTGCCCATCACGCTACTCATCTTTTCAAACTATAGGTGCATCCCCTTATCCCCTGAGCCACCCACCCACCCACCTTTCCTATACCTAGTCTTACCAGCTTAATGGATATGGCTCCGGGCCAGGGTGAATACCTCCAGCTCCTCCTGAGGCTTAGTCAGGACTGGGGCAGACTGAACCCCAGGGGGAAAGGAAGTGGGTCTTGGCTCCACCCACTCCACCCCTGCATCCTGCCCCACCCATTTCTACTCCCACAGCTGCCTGGGCGACCCAAGCATCAAGGGATACTCTGGTCTAGAATGGGAATTTTTAAGTTTTCACTGGGGTATAGAATGTCAGTCAGCTGGAAGATGAGAAGGTGTACTAAGGACTAGGGATAGAGAGGAGAATATGGAGAGAGAATTGTTTCCTGTTGTCCCAAAAGCCGTTTGGCCAGGACCCGAGGTGGTGCATTTCCTGCTAAGAGCTCCCAGGAAGTAATAGGGCCAGGGAAAGCCCCCTGACTCTGCTCATGGCCCTGAACGGTTTTTCAGCCTGCCAGAGTCACAAGGCGCTGAGGTCACTCCAGTGGCTCCCAGTTGAGGCTAGTATAACTACTGCATATGTTATGGTCTTAGGAAACCATGCAGGCTGCAGAGAAGGCTGACAGGTTCAGAGCATGAACTGCCCTTCCAGAAGACCATATCAGTTCCAAACACCGGCATGGTGGCTCACAACCACCTGTAACCAGGAGAGTCTGACGCCCACTACTGACCTCCAAAAGCACCAGCACACATAGGCCCAAACAGGCACTCATCCATACAGATGAAAATAAATTCAGATTTACTTACTTAAAAGAAACTTCTAGAACTACCTCAAAAGTCTTCAACTGAGTGTGAACTGGGGGTTCGGGATCATTTCTGCGATGCTGCAGGTCAATCCCAGAGCCCTGGTTCCACACACATCCCCAGCTTTGAATAAGAGGCTCTTTGCATTCTTTCTTTGAATGACTTCTGTTGCCTGACTTGAGTTAGGAAATAGATCCTTTTGGTACTTGTCTGTTTGGGCACGTGGCCATGCCTTCTGAAAACTTATAACTGACTGGGCATGGTAGAGCATACCTTTAATCCCAGCCCTCAGGAGGCAGAGGCAGGCAGATCTCTGAGTTTGTAGCCAGCTTGGTCTACAAAGTGAGTTCCAGGATAGCCAGGGCTACACAGTGAAACCCTGCCTTAAAAAACCACAAGAAACAAACAAAAACGCATAACTGATTTATACATTGAAAAAACAGTTCTATGCACGTGCGCGCGCGCGCGCGCACACACACACACACAAAACAAAACAAAACAAAAAAAAACTGGGTGTCTCTCCTTTGAGAAATCCATACCACTTTTGTGGGCATGTCTTTCCTTCTAAACACTTTTCCTTCCCTTAACCATAGTACTTACCGATCTACATTTAAAAATCTCAAAAGCAGAAAAGAATTTTTAAAATCTATAATTTAATAAACCCAAATTCTATAACAACAAAAAGACTGAAATATGTCCCTGAAATAGTCTGGGCTCCTACTGTAGCTACTCACTACTGACTCCAGGTCAGAAGCAAGAGTGCTGTGCTCACAGAACAGCAGGCAGTCTGAGCATCTGTCTGCGTGGGCACCCTTTACTCAAGGTCTGGGAGACACAAATGGCCAGTATTCTGTCCTGCGCACAGTAGGCCCGCCCTGGAACACCAAGCTTGGGGTGAAGAGCTTCATTTATAGCACATGCACACAAGCTGTTCAATGTCTCCTTAGGAAAGGGCACCTTGTTCACTGCAAACTAGAAATGGCTTAGGGGACAGAGATCAGGGCCTTGCATGCTAGACATCCCCAGCAAGCATGCTCAGGGCTGCTCAGACACCATGGGTTGCTTCTCCCAACAGTCAGCAGAGGCTCAAAGAAAAAGCAAGTTTACACATAGCACTCAGGCATAGGGGCACATGCTGTGGTCTCAGCCCTGTGAAGATTTAAAGAATAAAAAGCAAAAAATCCAGGCCTAGTAGCACATACCTTCAATCCCAGCACTTGGGAGATAGAGGCACGTGAATCTCTGTGAGCCCAAGACCAGCCTAATCTACAGGGTGAGCTCCAGGGCATCCTGGGTTCACAGTGAGACCCACCCTGGCTCAGTAAAAAACAAAGCCAACTTCATACTCAGCAGCAGATAAAACTCCCATCAGTGTTGGTGTGTGTGCAGGTTCTGCATTCCGTTGTACACTTTTGTTCTTGAATGTTAGTTCAAAGACATATTTTCTGTATGCTTACTAGGGGCATACTTCACGTCTGTCTGCATAGCTGCCTGGTAGTTCATAGCATGCATCACAGTGGAAGTCATCTCTCTTGAGGAACCTTCACATTGTTTCCAGAGTTTCCTGATTAAAACAAAGGTTCAGAGAGCCAGGTGGTTGTGATGAACACTTTTAATCCCAGCACTTGAAAGGCAGGTGGATCGCTGAGTTCAAAACCAGCATGATCTACAGAGCAAGTTCTAGGACACCTAGGGTTACACAGAGAAACCCTGTCTTAAAACACTAAATAAATAAGTAAATAAAAATTTAAAAGCCACAAACAAGAAAATAAAGCTACAGAAATGGTCTTGTTTTCTTTTCCTTCTTTTGTAGTCTTGATTTTTTTTTGGGGGGGGGCTTTTCCTTTGTTTGTCTGTTTGTTTGCACAAGTTTCATGAATTCCAGACACAATATGTATCTGAGAATGACCTGATTCTCCTGCCTTTGTCTCTGGCCATTTGGGAGGTGTGCCAGCTACCCTAGTTTATGTGATCCCTGGGATTGAACCTGGGGCTTCTTGCCTGCTAAGTAAACACTCAGCCATCTTAGCTGTATCTCCAGCCCAGCAATGATTATTTTTCTGTGATTATTATGTTTTACGGAATTTTTTTAATATGTATTGGTGTCTTGCTGACATGTATGTTTGTGCTCCATGTACACTCAGTGCTCAAGGAGGCCAGAGCAAACGTGTCAGATGCCCATGAAACTATGGACACTTGTGAATCCACCAAGTGGCTATTGGGAATTAAAGCTGGATCATTCCGCCAGAACAGCCAGCGTACTTAACCAGTAGGACACCACTCCAATCTTGCATTGTTTTAAAAAGAAAGACCCAGGGATGGTGGACTATACCTATAACCCTCCCACTAGGGGGGAGAGGCAGGAGAATCAAGACTTCATGGTAACTTCAAAGTCAGACTGATACATAAGATCCTGTCTCAAAAAGAAGAAGGAAGAGAGAGGGAGGTAGCAGAAGTTGGGGCTCACAGGGCGAGCAAACCACTAGGAAAGTGATGAAGGGGGGGAGGAGGGAAGGAGGGAGGAAATGAAGGGAGTGAAGGAGGAGGTAAGGGAAGATAGAGTGGAATATCACCCCACTGTTGGGTGTGTTTCTTTTGCCACAGCAAACAGAAAAGCAATCAACTGCAAAGCGTTAGCAATTGAACTGTTTTAACACTGTAGAATGTAGGACAAGATGGTTAGTGGTTTGAGCATTTACTGCTCTTGCAGAGGACCCTGGCCCAGTTCCCTGTACTCACTTGGCAGTTTGCCTGCCCTTTTCTTTTTTTTTGGGGGGGGGGGGTTGGCGGGATTGAGACAGGATTTCTCTGTGTAGCCTTGGCTGTCCTGGAACTTGATTTGTAAACTGGGCTGACCTCAATCTCACAGAGATCTGCCTGTCTCTGTCTCCTGAGTGGTGAGACTAAAGGCATGTGTCACCATCTTCCAGCCCCCCTCCGCCTCTTTCTAACCTCTGCCAATTGTACACATACACACAGGCCAGCACACAAATACACACATACACATAAAACAAGTCTTTTACATTGGGTTTTGTTTTGTTTTGTTTTAAATAAAGGGGTAAAAGTACAAGGTGGAGAGACAGACAGCCAGAGACTAAAAGCACTGGTTGCTCTCCCTCTCCCAGAGGACCTGCACTCACATGGTGGCTCAAAACCATCTATAACTCCAACCCCCTCTTCTGACCTCTGGTACCAAGCATGCACCTGGTATATATACATACAGGCAAAACACTCATACATATAAAACAAAATAAAATATTTTCTGAACAAAAAGTATAGCATATAGAAAAAAAATGTTCAAAGACAACAATGGTTCCCAAATTGAGAGAGAGAGAGAGAGAGAGAGAGAGAGAGAGAGAGAGAGAGAGAGAGAGAGAGAGAAATAATCCCTGAGGCATAAAGTTATGTTTAGGAAATGGTCATTTTAACCAAACTGCGGAGGATGGAGTTAAACAAAAGTTGTACCTTCCCAGTGTGCTCTGAGCATCAGTGACCCTCGACTCAAGAAAGAACTGAGAGGGAAAGGATGAATGTAGGCTCCAGCCCTGAACAGGGCCTGAGGCAGCTGTCACTCTCAGGGAGAGGTGTCAGGGGCTTAGACACTGAGGAAATGGGTCGTGAAGGTGTGGGCCACACTCAATGTCAGCCAGGCCCAGTGCAGATGGTTTCACCCCTGCCTGCAGCAATCTACAGTGAACAGGCTTGAAAAAGAAGCTAACTAGCTGCCAGGGCTGTTGGGACTCAATGGCACACATGTTTCATTCACATGGCATTTACTCCATGAAATAGCCCTGGGATATGCCTGTCTTTGCCTTGATTTTACAGGCGAATAAGACAAGAAGCAAATCTGAGAAACAAAACAGCCAAGAGATTTGCCCAAGCTCTTTTAACCAGTAGATGCTGGAGATGGAATTCAAAGCTGAGTTTACTTAAAGCTGGAGACCAGGGACAAGGACCTGAACTGTGGTGGGTGGGGATGGCTGGGGTTTAAATAAATCATATAACACTTATTAAAACCAGGGCTAAAGTCAGATTTAGAGTATTGAGGAAGACTTCATAAACCAAAGATTTTTTTAAATGGGTCCTATTGAGTAGACAAGATTAGCCTCAAACTTGAAATGGCCCTGCTCCAGTCCTCAAGTTCTGGGGTCATAGGCATGTGTTGCCATTCCCAAGCTCAGAAAAGCAAGATGTTGTGGCTTTACCTTTGGAACACTAAAGAAAATAGGGATTCCTCTCCTCTGATACCCACATGCAAACAATATAAATTCTGCCTTTTCTAACTTCAAAATGGGTATGGCACTTGCCATCAAGCTCTTGGCTTCTGAATGCCAATCTCCTTGAAGAAGCTGAAGTATGGAAACAAGAGATAAGCTTGGAAAACACTTTACATTTGTTTTAT